AACGCAGCTGAAATTTCTTCGAACGCCGAGATGGCCCGATGCCTCCAATGTGTTTCAGAGTAAGGTGAGTTTCGGTACCCGAAAGACGTAAATCCTTTACCAAAGTATTGGCACAAAGAGACGTTTGTGACCCGGGATCCAGCAACGCTAACGTCTTTTGTGACCGTCCTTCTGGGCCAAGTACTCTAACAGGTACAATTTGAAGCAGTGTTCGCTGATTTTTCTGCAGACACGCTACCGCTCTCTGTTCTTGATTTTCTTCCTCGGTTTCGCGCGACTCGTCGTGCAGTAATTTGTGATGATTTTGATCGCAGCCATTGATTCCACATTCTTCTTTGTGCCTACAGTATCTTGCCAGATGACCTTTCTTTAGGCAGGAAAAACATCGTCGGTTTGCAAACACAAACTGAGCTCTTGCCCGAACATTCATCTGGATGAACGATGAACATTCATCTAGCTGGTGTATACCAATCTTGCAGCATGGGCAGTCCCTCGGGACCGCCGCTGAAGCTTCTGTTGTCAGAGTAGTCCTATTATTTTTAAGCACACGGTGTGTATCGGCCAGCATTGTCATTCGCCTTGCACTTACATTTGAAACCGCAGCGTAATTTAAGGCGATACGCACTTGTCTTTGCAACCATTTGTCGAGATGAATTAAATTTGGTTTGTGTATATCAATGGCATATTCTCCCCAATCTCTCTTCATTTCGGACGGTAACTTCTGAACTGCGCGGCGTAGATTTTCTGTTGAACACAGGTCACCCTCATATCCCATATTTTGTAAAACCGTTACTGCGCAGTGGAGAGCCCCATGGAACTGCTCGAGACTGCGCGGGTCAAGATAAGTAGGCGAAGGAGCGGCAAAAACTCGGGTTAAATTCGCGTGAATAATGTCCTCATCTCTACCGAAACGATCCTTTAGCGCAGCTAGTGCGTCATGATACAATCCTCCGTCATACAACATACCTCCAATGGTGTGGCGTGCCAAACTGGTCACAGAATTTTGCAGGTGAGCCATTTTCTCATCAGTAGATAACGGTTGCTCGTCGACAAGGGATTTGAATAGAGAATACCACCTCGGCCAGTCTGAAACGTCGCCACTAAAAGTCTCTAATTCCAATCGGGGTAGACACTGGCGGAACATTGGCGTGGAATGCCGGTGATTTTCGTTCGTTCGTATGTGCCGTCGCTTCTCGTTGTCTATTCGGCTTTGAGCTTCGTCTTCGTTGAATCGGGGCTCGTTTATATCGCTATATCGTTCGTGGGTTGATTCGTAATTTCGTTTCGTGTTTTGTCGCAGTCGCCTTTGTTCGTCTTCGCTACTATCGCTTCTTACGTTTTCGTCTTCGTTTCCTTTTCGCTGTCGAGTCACGTCTGATGAAGATTCAACGGATCCATATGCAGTACCTAACTCTGATTTTGCAGCCATCGTCTTGCGGTCATGGATGCTTGCATCGTTTTGTTCGTCGCGTAGCCGGGCGAGAATCATATCTTGTAACTCTGTACATTTATCTGTAGCGTCTCCCTCGTATCGCTCGGCTCGCTCTCTTTCGAATTCGTCGTCGGAAATCCGGTCGAAGTAATTCCAGTTCGAGTCTTGTAATTTTCTTAGTGCATCATCTAACTCCTTAAGGATGGACCAGAGTTCGGCACGTGTTCCATTGATTTCTAAAAGCACTAATCCTCTTCGCCGAACCCGATTTAATGCTGCCAGGTCCTGTCCGCGTTTCCGTCTCAAATCAGACAGGGAACGGCTTGACGTGGCCATGGCACTCTTTGAAACTGTAGAATCTTGTGGGCTTGTGGGTTTGAACACGCACTGGATAACACTGTCCTGATTTATTTTCACACTGTCTGGACACCAATAACCAGAGTAACTCAGTCCACACTTAAATAATCAAGACTATCCAAATGGTTTCAAAGAGTTTGACGCCTTACCCAGCTCAAGATTCTAATATATGCACAATTTTGCTAATTTACTCAAACTTGAACTAAACACTGGTAACTGAAAAATATAGATTCACCATTTCCAATTGTACCCTTTCTAGAAAGCAGGACAAATAAAAATGTCAAATAAAACATGATCAGAACGCAGGGGGCGCTTCGCATTTCGTGACACAACAGGGGGTATCCTCCGCAGCGCCCAAGACCGCCTTTCTGGATCCGCCAATGCAGTATAGGTATGTATGTGTTCGATACTAGTCAAGGCAACTTGATATCTTAATATTTCACGTAAGAAACAAAATAAAAGCCGTCTGTAGCATACATTATTGAAACTGTGACCCTTAAAACATTCCCACGATTCCATATCATTGCCAGAACATTTCCATATTGCTGCTCTGCGCCATATTCGGCAGCCGTATAAATATGACAGCCCACTCGAACTCTGCGGACCAGCGCCGAACACGGTCCAGCCATGCTCATGTAAAGCGTAGCCGTCTGCCGCATATCGGGACAACACATCAATAGCTTGTATGTGTCACAAGTGCGCTGGTCTGTGTTGCATCACCCCTGGTCAGGGGACGTTAACGCAGTGGTTCGCCAAGTGGAAGTGATGGCTACACAGCCTGCTGACAGCCCGCAGCTCATGCGTAACTCAGGAGCGGCGCGTGGCGACAGACGCGGCGCTCGATGACATACGTGGCGCACGTCAGCCGACCGGCTCAGCGTCCGTCGATGGTGGTCCGACGGCAGCTGCATGAGGTTTGCCTTGACGGTGATCACCGTGCTTGTTAAGCCCTTTATGTCTCTATTAGGTCTCGAGCAATGTATTGTCATCTATCTATTTTAATAGAAGTAATATCCTGTAATGCTCAGTACCGCGTTCTCGTCGTTCAAGTAGTGCCGCAACCGCCGCAATCCACTCTAGTGGGATCACCGCACAATCGTCCTGGCACTGCACTCATGTCGCCGCAACGCTGAAGCATGTCAGACTCGCATCTCGCGGCGAATTATCCGATGACAAAAAAGCCGCAGGCATCTCGGCGACTTCTTTTTCAGCCGTTCCGACATCTGATTGTATCGGGGCCCCGTTCGTCGAATGAAGACCACACACAAGTGCATACTTGAGTGGTTTAGACGCCAGGGCAATTGCGGTGGCCAGGCACTGCACGTCTTGGGTATGTCGCGAGCCGGTGACTCCGCCGATATCATCTACCAGCGCCCGGCGCAGCAGTTTTTCGGAATGCATCGGTAATTTGAGGACGAAACTGCGGACCCGTGCGTACCAGCTGCTGAATAATTATTGATTGGTTGAACTCTGTGTTATGCAAGGCTTCCAGACCTGTACATAATCGTGCTGTGTGTTTATTTCATTTCATTTATTTTGTTTTACTGGAATCTTGTTGATTAATATACTTGAGCCAGGTTACGTATTTTGAATAACATTTTACCCACAACATTTCAATTGGACGTCACATTCCGCGGCATACAAAAGCACTAACCGGCATCATCATCAACTTCCTGAGGACCCACGTCAGCCGTCCAGCCAGACGGCATCTTCAGAAGGTATAGGGCGCGGTTCGAGAGACAACCCGACAGCCACCGGCGGCTCCGATTAATTGTGCGCGCGCCGCCGACCGCGCACGAGAAACAACAGGTCACGGGTTATTAATTAGCACGGCGGGGTCCGTACGGTGCGCCCAACACGCCATCACCGGGGCCACTGCCCGGCAGAAAAGTGCGACATTGATAGGAAGGGTGTTTGATGACTGCGTACAACAGTTCTGCGATGGCGACAAAACTGGTGGGTTGTGTTCATATTCCAATGGCGGCTAGCTTTATGAATGTCGCTTGCTTTACCGACAGTATGCGCCTCTTGTGCTTAGGTTTAGACACCATGTTTTCTCATTTCCAACCACGAGTGCAGCGGATCAAGAAGGCTTTACCCAAATCCACACACCACACACAGTACTCCCGCAGTATCACAGATGAGTCATATGCAGTATGCACGCTGATCTTCCCTTCCTCCCAACGAATCATTCTTCAATTACCGCCGGCTGCGTTTCCAATAACCGGTATATATTCCGATCCAGCTGCCCCGGGAGATTTCCATTTCCATCCTCCCCGCGCCCATTCGTTCAGCGATGACGTCATCTAGGGCTGGGGCCGCCGGGAGGGGCGACGGGTTCCTCTCCGTCCGTCGGGCCGGTTCAGCTCTTCCGGTGACAGACTGGGCGCGTTTAAAGCGCGCTTCACACTCGGCCACAGGGTCAAGGTTGGTCCAATCAATCGACTAGCGTAGCAGCCATACAGTTTACGACGTTTTAATAGAATGAGGAGCGCGGCGGTCGTAAAGGCTATCATTTTCACCTCTTTATGGCACCAATTTGTTACCGGTCGGGCCCCCAGTGGCCGGTCGAGTGGCATTCAGAGCAATAAAAACGGGATTCACAGAGAGGGGAGCGCGTAAGAGGTGTCGGGAGTTTTTACCGGGATGCGCAGAGTACGCGTGACCTATTGAAGGGGTCGTTGGTGAAGCCGGGAAGTTCTGGAAGAGCATAAATTACAATTGAGTTGTTTGACTTTAAACAGCCAAAATAAGGAAGCTTGAAGCTCAAGTGGCTTCATATGCAACTCCCAGGAACTGCTGCAACTAATACCAGTGATAAAGGAAGGCTGAAAGAGTGAGGTTTTACTTGTTCATCTAAGCCTACCGGAGCATTTGTTCTTTTCTTTGAACGCTGCTTCGCGGTGCCGGGACGAATTACAACGAACAACCAAGCATTCGTCAACCAGGCCAGGAACCAGAGATTCATTGGACCAAGGACCACCGGTTCATCGGACCAGGACCACCGGACCATCGACCACCAATCCACCTTGGACCACCGGGTATCCGGATACCAATCCGTCAACCACCGGAGACAGTCAGTGAGTTTTGATGAGCCGTATCTCTATGGTGGATTGGTTTATGGCCTGTTTCGGGCCCATGACCGCGTGTGAGACAGAGCGGGGAGTGCGGAGAGAGGGAGAGAGGAGTCTGCGGACTGAGAGCGACCACCGGCGCAGTGCGCATTCTGGCTGCCAGTGCGCAGGTCACCGGTGAGAGCGGTCCGTGTTGGGTGACTTTGCGCTTTGGGTCTTTTCTGAAGCATTTCGTGCGTTTTCGCCCCGTGTGTTTTGGAGCCTCCTTCGTTCTTCCCCAGCGGTTGTTGGCTGCGTGGGTGCGTGCGTCTCCCGCGGAGCGGCGATTGGCGCAGGAAAGGGGAGCCGGCGGCGGGGGCGACATTTTTGATCGGCGCCCATTGATTTGGCGAGGGTCCGGGGACGGCCGGAGGGTCCGCCAGCGGGCATCCCGCACCGCCGCCGGCGGCGGCCTCATGTTTATTCCCGACAATAGGCTGAATAGGTCAATGTGATTGGTCGGCCGGCCGGCTGCGGCGCGCGCTGACGTCACGGCGCGTATTGAATGGTCTCCTCTGCCGGGGGACGGGCGCAAATCACTCTGGCCGGCCGGCGGCGCGGCGCCCGACCCTGGGAATCGGCCGGCAGGAGGCGCCCCGGACAGTGCGTGAACGCTGCGTGATCGGCCGCCGCACCGGTCGGGCCCGAGAGGCAGAGTGCACCGCGAGCGTCACCATGAGCTGGAACTTGAGCAACGCGGCCGGCGGCTGGCCGGCCGGCGGCCACAACGTGCAGGCCGCCGACCAGTACTACAACAACGGCAAGTACGGCGGGGTGAACTATGAGAACTTCCAGCAGTACGCCGCCCAGGCGCACCAGCACTTTCAGCGGTACAGCGCGCCGTACCCCAACCTGGGCAACCTCAGCGCCAAGGCCGTATACGAACAGTGCGCCTCGTACTCGCCGACCCCCGGCTACCCGGGCACCCCGGCCAGAACGGAGTCGGCCGAGGGACGCGACTTCACCGCCTGCAAGATGCCGGCCGGCTTCGGCGGCGGAGTGCACGACAGCATGCAGGGCCTGCACATGCAGAACTTTGCCGGCATGGAGGACATGCACTATGCGGCAGCGGCGGCCGCCGCCAAAAACCCCGGAGGAATCTTCCCCTGGATGAAGGCTCCGTATACAAGTAAGTAATTAAAATATTTTAATTATTGCGCATGCTTGCATACTGCACAGTCACCAACACCCATGATTTGATCAACCCCAGGACTCTTGCTAGCTTGGCTGCTCTCCGAGAGCCTCGATTCAACCCAGCAGTTTTTTTTTTTTGTCTCCCGGTCGCAGCGGGGTTCCCGCGAGGGTCCGCGGACCCCGTATCCGGTTTTGACGGCTCCCTCGGCTCCCCCGGCTCCCGTCGGATCCCGCGTTGAAACCGGTCGGCTCCCGTCGACTCCCTCCCACTTCCTCCCGAAAAGACCGACTCCTGTCAGATCTGGAGCGCCTCAGATCCGGTAACACGAGTCATCCACGCAGACCACCACAGCCGCGCCCCACGGACAGTTTTTACGTCACCCTCCGGTGCGGTCCCATTTGTTTTAATCAATTCCGGGGGATAAAAAGGGTCACGTGACAGCCACGTCACAGTGGAGAGGTTTTTGTGGATCAGCCATTTTCTGAGCGAGGGATGGCTCAGTCGATGGCTGTGGGGCAGTGGGGTGAGCGAAATCGCTTCATTTCGTGAATTTAATTGGTGACGGTGACGTAAAGGGTGTTGCTCGGGTGACGTGGTAAAGTGTGACGTCACTCGTGGGTGAAGGAGGGTCAGTGAGGTGTACGGATGTCGTCATGTGGAAAGGTTTCTCAGTAGGAAATTGGGTGCGTCGAGGATCATAGATTTATGCTCACAAGCTTATTGCTTTCAATATTATCAGGCCACACAGTAAAATGTGGTTTTATATTGCATACTTTCGTATCATAATACCTCACAATGGTACTCGGAAAGAAGTGTATCCGACCTATCTCCCTTCTATTCATCCACGGAGGCTTGATATCCCCCTGCTGTGCAGTTGCCGGCCATGTCGCATGTTGCATTGTTGAATGTTTACATGTGTTGTGTCTGACGCTGAGGTAGTGAAGGGGCTGCCGGGCAGATAATGGGGAATGTGTTCTGTTGTTCACTGTGTGCAGGTGCAGATAAATGTGAAACATAACGGGTAATCACTTGAAACGTGCCAGGGATTATTTCAGTGGCACAAGAACACGGATTTCAGCTTCCGGAGTAGATAATGAGTCCAACTGTGTCCATCCTTGTAGCATTAACTACGGGTCTTTTTTGGGTTCGTAGCGCGGCAGCTGCATTTGTTTCTAATTTATTAGCTTGTGATAGAAAGCAAGTTGAACAAGGCGATACACAGTTTTAATTATCACACTTTTGTCTGTTAGCTGAGTACAACATTTCAAACATATTGCGTTCTGGAAAGCTACAAAACCCTTATTTCTGCTGTTAGATAAGGAGATGTTATTTTGTATCACAACTCTTGCAAGCGCGTCCCTGGAGCAACGTAGTTATGTTACAAAGCTTTGTGCCATCCACTGTTTCAGTAATGATTTTCATAGCCACGCATACCTAACTACCATTTTTTCTATTTCAACCATACTCAAAATCGGTTGATATAATATGCATATGCAAACATAACATATGAGTTAGCAATTAAACACGGTAATTAAATTGTGTTTAAACATTGTGGTCAACAAATTTAGTACCTACTGCAAAATTATGAAATAAATTTCATATTGGGTCGATAGATAAGAGATAAATTATCGATGGGAAGATATAAGTGATGCTTTAAAAATTTAAGTCTGTGTCGACTGGTCCTCGGAATTGCCATCATTACAAGCCCCTCTTCTTCTCTGTTTCAGTTGACCCGGGTCACACGCCGAAGCGGACGCGGCAGTCCTACACCCGGTTCCAAACTCTGGAGCTGGAGAAGGAGTTCCGGACGAACCGCTACCTGACGCGGCGGCGGCGGATAGAGATCGCCCACGCCGTCTCGCTCTCCGAGCGACAGATCAAGATCTGGTTCCAGAACCGGCGCATGAAGGCCAAGAAGGAGACAAAACAAGTAGACTCCACAGAACGTGACGACGCTGACGACGACGCCTCCGGAGACAAATCTGTCGGCTCGTCGCCGCCGGCGCCGCGCCCGGCTCCCGTCGCTTTCGACGCGACGCCCTCGTGCTCCTCGAGCCTGGTGACGGGAAACTCTCTGGATGACATGCTGCCCACGATGCCGGCCATGCAGACCTCGCTGTCGGCGGTGCAGCACGTCCAGCACGGTCACCAGCCCCAGCACCAGCACCACTACTCAGGTATCAAGTCCGAGGCGCACTCGGCGTAACCTCCTCCAGGGGTCTCATAAATCTCACGACGGAGCTGGCGTAGCCTCGTCGAACGGGTTGGTGATTTGACGCAGCAATGCGCATCTGTATATGAAAGTGGGCGCTATTTGAAGTGTAATTACCTTTTGCTGTGACAGTTGTTCAGGGATTTTTGCATTTGTTTTGCCATCTATTCTGTGAGTAGATGATCGAGTGGAACGCACGGTACGGGTATATTGCTTTCAGTTTGAATAGTTTGTATTATTTTGTCACTCACTTTGCGGGTTTTTCGCGGGTTGCTTATTGCTTCGCTTTTATATTTGTTTATATAAATGAAATGTTTGCTCATCGGCATCATTTTAACTTTGCTCTAAGAGTCTTGATTCATGATTTGATGACTTTCTCAGGTCATTAGAAGCATCGATGTACAGTTCGCTGTTATTAAGATTACCTACTATTTTATGTTATATCTTAGCCTTTACCTCCAGCAGCTTTGTTCCGAAATATTTCCTCAGATAAATCTTGCTAATGTAAATTCAACGCACTATCATCCACGCAGGCCTCGAGTTTTTCTATCTTTTGAATTCTGAAATACGCCCTCGCGTGCTAAACCAACTCCGTGTCATATTTCCACCTTATCCCAGCTTCTTGAGCCTTCTCCTGTCGCTCCTCACATATCCCTTACCTGTTCGCGCATCTATCGTTAACCAAACCCCCTATTAGCACATATCCACGAGCGCGGCACCTGATCCTTGGATCCGCGAGTTTGCGCGGTCCCGTTACACCTTGAGCTACCTGATCGTCCACCGCTCCTCCCACCTCACCATCCTATCCTGCCGTCTGCCAGCGCTGGCCCGTGGTCATCGTAATCCCCGGTACGATTAGGCCGGGCGCGCGCCAGCCGCTCCCTGCGGACCCCTAATTACCAGTGTCGCACTCGGACTCGCTAATTGAAAGAGGCGGCAGTAATAACACCCGAGCGGCACAGGGAAAGCGCCGGCCGGCCTCCAGAGAGTGAGGGTTCGAGACGCACGAGCGGAGCAGAAGGCCTAGTCGCTCCCCTTTGCCGGACGGCGGTGCTAGCTTCTTGTGCGTGTGCCTGGACGGGACTGCAACGCTCGGAGGTGCGTAGGATGTGCGTGTGCGTAAGAAAGTGCGTGTATTGTAGTATGCGTGTGTATTGTGTCGATATTTGTTGTTGAGATTCTTTGACGGTCACTTACGTGTGTGGTTAGGAATGGTGCGATCCAAACCAAAGATATCGGCACCTCGCCTTCACTGTGTCTGTCGCGATACTGTAGAAACACATTGTCCCTGCCTGTTGTTGTGTCTTGATAAATGCAAGCTCGACCTCACTACCTCATCGTGACCTTAGGTATCCCGTGTTGCTGCACACGTGGTGTATCACGTGTTTCGTGTTCTTGTGCACGTGGAGAATCACGTGTTCTGTGTTCCTGTGTTCGTAGAGTGCAACGTGTGTGATGAACTCAGGTCAACTCAGGGTATATACAATTAAGTGTAAATGCGACCCGATGTTGTATATATGTGCGACGCAATCCTAGGGTTGGCACCGTTCGTTGTTGTGATTTGGTGGTCATTTGCACCCACCGCCCGGCTGACCAAGCCCTCTATCGTTTGGCTTGCTCTGGACAGCTCATCTAATAAATCTCGATGTAGCTATCACAGTGTTCGCTGGCGTCTCAGTGCCGATATCTCCCCGGCGAGGGCGGCATTCTCGGTTTACGACCGGGCACGTCCGCTGTCTGCCGGCCAGCGCACACTGGTCGGAAACGCTCCAGCGAGAGGCCAGCGGCCTTTCCGCAAAAGTTTTTTGCTTGTTATTCCACAACCAGTGAAGCAAACTTCATAAAACTTTGCATACTTTCTCTGTCATATGTAAGCTATCATTTGGATGTCAAACACTAAATATATGACGTGAATCTGTTAAGTTATGACGTCATAATTGAGTATAATACAGGATCTAGCACCACTTTAAGTCAACAAGGGAAATTGGGAGCTGCTATTCGGGCACCGGGAATGGTTTCATGCACTCCTTGCAAGGTCCAGTGCTTGACTTTAGCATTGTTGACTTTGTGTGACGTCATTTATGACGTCACTAAGGCCATGTAAGTTTTTCGTCAATAACTCCTGATCAGATGGAGCTAGAGAGTCGAGAAAGCCACCATTGGACTCAGGAAGACCTGCCGAATCGAATGATATGCGATATGACCTCCTTCAGCCATTTTCGTGACCTGAGGGGCTCCGACTGACCTTGACCCGAGGTTAACACCTTAACCCTCGCCGGCACAGGGGGGGGGGGTGATGCAACCCCCCCTAAGGTTTTTCGCGAATAACTCGCGTAAAAAGCGGCCGATTGCGACGAAACTTTCAGTACCCTCGCATTGATCAATTTTACACCTACCCTCAAAATTTCATGACCCTGACCCCAATGACCTTTGACCTGTGACCTCTTTTCCGTGACCATGTTTGGCCGAAATCGCGATTCGGCGTATGTCGGCTCGCATTAGCCGCGCGTTTGCAAGCTTTTCGTGGTTTCAAACGTTCAAACATGTGATTTGATGCTGCTCCCATACATTAGGATGGGTGTCAAGGTCACCTGAAGGTCAGGTCAGGTCATTGACCTTTGGTGACCTCGGGTGACCTCGGTTCACTTTTTCGAGTTTTACATGTTTCTAGGCTAGTTTTTGGAGCTGAATTCTAATTTAGCAACCATTTGAACATTTACGAAGTAGTTTTGGCGCCTTCGTAACATGTTACGAAGCTGTCAGAGGCGGTTGACACGTATTACGAATACCCGTCACAACCTCTACCGGTTGACCTGACCTGACCTGACCCGACCTGGTCTAAATGCTTAAAGACGTCATCTCTGATCAAAACTAATGCGATATTCGTGATCAGCACCCCGGAAAACCACACAGCAGCCACAATTTACGACTTTCTAACAGGTCCCGATTTTCCCGGTTTTCGGGTCATTTACCTGACCTAAAAGGTCACCCGATGACCTAGGACCTTAAAATTGGGTATCATCGGCTTCCTCTCGTGACGGGCAACACGCTCGTTTTTTTCCGCGAGGCTCTAGCTCGATCAGGGGCCAAACGCGAGGGGGGGTCGTACCACCCCCCCCCCCCTTGTGCCGTCGAAGGACGCAAAATGGCTTGTGCCGGCGAGGGTTAAGTTGACTTCACCCGAACACCAAGTATAGCATTCAACGCGCCTGAGCTAGACAAACACGATTATGCCAAAATCGCGGCAGTGCGACCATTTTTGGCAAAGTAATTAACCTAAAACCGAGCCCGTGCCTTGTGGCACTTACCTGACCTAAGAGGTCACTGGCTGACCTAAGACCTTAAAATCGGGTAGTACCTAATTTTTGCGTCTTATAACGGCACACAAGCTTTTTTCCGCGAGGCTCTAGCTCAATTAGAGGCGAAACGGCGAGGGAGTTGTACCAACCCTCCCCGGTCAATGTAGAAAACCAATCGGTCCGGCCAGGGTTAAATGCCGGAATTGTGATCTAATGCAAAAAGACGGCCCAAGGTAACCCGACGTCAGTGACAGGTGTCCTATATTTGCAGCGTCTTATATTCACGAAGGTTTCAATTTCCACTTTCTTCAGCCGAGTGATGGTTGTCAATAGCAAGGCTCTCTAAATGCAAGCCGTAATCGCCACGCAATATGTGGAAGGCTTTTGATGTCAATACATACATAAATGCAAACATAAAACGCGCTTTTCACAAAATTCATAAACTCAAGCGCATCTGTTTTTAATGACCAGTCAACTACGCATGGATGCGTGCAGGCCACACAGGTCAGCGTAAGCCGGGCGCGGCGGCCGAGCCGAAACTGGGGCGGGGCGGGCGGTAGTTGGGTAGGAAGAGCGGCTCCTGCAAATTTTGCGCAAATATGCGCAGTTAGCTTTTATGTTGCCCTGGTGTAAATCTAAATCCTACTTCATCTCACAAAAAATCAGAGTGGAACTAGATGGGACTACCTGTTGTTTCCTTACCTAAACTTTGCAGTTATATTCCAGAATCACTGTAGGAGAGCCTTCATAAAAAAGCTATAGTACATCTTAGTTAGGGAAAAAGTATACCAAAAAATTTGCACTGACCAGTCGGCAACTTCATAACGAACATTTTGATGCATAATATGTGGGATTTCAATTTAGTGTCTATCAGCAATAAGACTCTGAATATCCGGCTCAAGAAACCTCTTGCTCCGCGTCAGTTTCCGAGTTCTGGGATACCCCATCTTCGGGGGCTGATTAAAGCTATTTTTGGTAACCCGGATTAGTTTTTTTGGCCTAAGTATAATAATTTAATCAATTTCAAATCGATCTATATAAAAAATAATCCGGAACTCCGGAATCGCCCGTGGCCTCTCGTGAGGGCGTTTCCGACCAGTGTGCAGCGGCTGGCTTCCAGGGACACCGGCAGTCGCGCCCAACTGACAGGCCCACACGGCCGGCCGGCAGCGCTCCCATTCCCGTCGAGTTTTCGCACGGCCCCGCGTCAGATGTTCACAACACACGCCGGTGGCGGCGGCGGCGGGCGGCCATGCTGGCGGCGGGCGCGGCCGGTCGGGCGCCGCCGCGCCGCTCCCCACGGGCGCCCATCCAAAATGGCCGCCGCCCGCGTGCCGGGTCGTTTGTCATGGACCGGACGCGGCCGTCAGAGACGAGCGACCATGTGCGGCCGGCAGACGGTCGGCGGTACGGTCAGCCGTGACGTGACGCCCCGTGACGCGACGTGACGCGCGTGACGCGAGGAGAGCCGGGCTGTGACGGACGCCGCCGCCGACCGGTGACGTCATCCCAGGGTGAACGGCCCGTGCGACGGATGGACGGACGGACGGCAGCTTTTTGTGAGGCGGTGAGAAAAAAAAACAGTCGGGAAGCGCAGGGTGGGGCGCTGGAGGTGCAAATTCTCTAATATTCAGTGTCAAGCTTACGTCAATCTATACGAGTAGTCCCGAAATTTTAAAAGTTAAATAGGACATTGTTGCTGCTTGATACAAGTTGGCGTGAAAGTGCTAGAATAAAACGATTTACTTCAACTTGGCTAATAGCTTAACAGCATCTTCATGATTAAATGTCTTTTATTTAACACATAAGAGGCGGTTTCAGGCTAAACGGAAACCAACGTTTAAAAGTACTGCACTCAGCTAGCCTTCAGCGAATAAAAAGCGTTATCTGAGAGCTCTGGCGCCACCTTCAATTACCACATTCTGGCCACAAACGCACGGCCTATTAACGACATTCCAAGGGCATTCCTCTCACTGTCAAAGCACTTCTCCTAGCTGGTCGGCCCCCGTCAGCTTCCGAAGATACAAACTCCGATCAGGCCTCTATCTTCGTGTACCGTGCTTAATGGAATCTGGTCCTAATTTGTGAACAAACTGGTGCGCCGTCGAGCGCAGTCCGACTGCGCTTCCCTCCGCACCTACAGTCGACTCCAGATACAGTCGACGCCCGGGAGCCGGCGGCGGGGGAAGCTTGTAGGCCAGGAGTTGACCTTGGAGTTCAGAGGGGCAGTCAGGCGCGGCCTTGTGTGTGCCGAGGCGGGTCGGCGCGGCGGTGGGCTGTACCGGACGCCATAACCAGAGGGCAATTAGCGAGAACCGTTACGGAGGAGCCAGCGACGGACACGAGACTCCAGAGACCTACACCGGGAGTAGGGTCGGGGAATTTTTCAGACGGTGCTAACCATATAATCAGTGTCGCTTGTTTGGGTTGGCTAATTGTGATCATTGTTCAAAGACGCTTGTAGCCTGGGTATACTGTATGGCTCTACAGCAAAGTACGGCGTGGAATAGTGGCATGGATCCCCAGAAAATAGCTTGCATAATGTCAGTGAAACTCGCCATCAGATCTGTTAGAAGATCGGGCTATAAAGGTAACTGAAGAAGCTCTACGTCTAATCTAATCTTTCAACAACACGGCCAACTAAACAGCAGTTTTGTGGTACGCCGCACCTTCGTCGGCTGCGGTCTTCCCCGACTGTCCTTGTAACAACCCCGTCACCTAAGCGGACTTTTTGCGGCCGGGCTCCGTCCGCGAGGGCCGTCTTTCTGAGTGGATCGGTGATCCATCAGCGTTCATTACGGCCGCTCCACTGCCCGACTCGGTCTGACCGAAACCGACACACGGCCGCTGATCCAGGCGTGATGAATGGCCACACCGCAGCCCTGTGCACTGGATGCCTGCCGACTGAGCCTTTCACGTTTTTTTCTGCAATCAAGCTGCCCGAAATGGACGCCGATTCTTGCACGAGCATTCGTAAACAACAAACAAACATTCTCTTCAAGCATGACTATCCTAGGATACTCTCTAGACAGTTGTTTTAGGGCTTTGAGTAATCCCACCAGCAGCCAAGGTGTCTGTCCTTCCTTGGCCCGCCCAGGCCAGAGAAAGCGGCGGACCGGCGCGAGTCTATCCGTCTGTCGCTCCTCACCAATAATATGCGCGTCTCCCGTCGGGCCGCGCGGCGTGCCGGGCAGATGCTCCGGCGATACAGCTCGGCCGACCTGTCGCGTTCCGTCCCGAACCATAAATCAGAGCCCCAGTGGCGTTTGACACCTAAAAAGAAAGGACAAGTTTTGCATGCCTAATGAGAAACGCACAGAGGACGAGACGGGCCAGACGACGGGTGGGTGGTCGG